TAGACATTGATACTCTGGGCAGTTATGAACCTGTCTCTGAGAAACCCAGCGTGCATGCAGTGAGGAGCCATGGTACAAAGCGGGCTGACGTACACCAGCGTGTTAGATGCGGTAATGTCTACAGTAATTGCCTTTGCTCATTCATATAGACACTGGGAGGCATCTGACAGGCCCTCGGTCACAGAAACAATTAATTGGGATAGCCTCTTTATACAGAAGAAACGATCCACATACTTGCACGCGGGTTGATCAACCGCCTACGGCTCTTCTGCAAAGCCAACATTGTCCTCGAGCCGCACCACACGGTCCTGGCGCACGTGCACCTGATGGTCGTACGCCCACCAGAGGACGCGTGGAAAGCCATGGCGCACATGGCGCGTGCTAAAGTCAGAGTACGGCTTGCTGTGCCCCGCGATCGAGTCGTACGTGATCAGTCCGGTGTCAGCGTGACACATAAGCGTCTGGCGTAACATCTCAATGGGGGGGTGGAATGAGCCGTTGAAGGATGGTTGCTCGAATGGACACCGACGAATGTCCCTGACACTGCTTATTTGAATTTTATTTCTTCTCCGCTTCAGAAGGGTCGCACATCTGAATGCCGAAAATGTGAGCCTTTTGCTTCGGGTAGCGATCGGCTCAGTCAGAACAGTGGACACTGACCATGGGACTCTAACAGTGGCTTGAAGAAAGCATCTGCAGGGAGCACTAGCGCCTTGATAGAAGTAAAGAATGCTGTCGAAATACCACTCATGGTCACCATTCGACCTCAAAGTAGGTGTGCACTGATGTCACCATGATGCCCCCAACCCTGACTCGGAAGGTGACGCCGTGCACCTGATCAACCGTCGGTGGGCGAACCACTGGCACACCACGCCAGGCGTTTGTGTCAATTTCGTACATCAATCAATGGTCAAGCTATTTTTTGCATGACGTCGCCAATCAATTGGCTGGAGCCTGTCAAGGCAGGAGATCGGGTTTCTATCCATGGAAGGCGGCATGGTGAGGGCGTGTCGTATGCGCATTCGGCGCGTTATTCCTATCTAGTAAGAAAGGAATTTTTTGCACCGGCCGATGGCTCATAGCTGACGAGGCCGATTTACAACCCGGGACGGTGATCTGAACGCCCTGCGTGTGCTAGCACTTACGTGTCTGAATGATCATGTGCCTAATGGTACGTACCATCAAGAGCGTGTTACATAAATGACTATCGGTTCATTAATGCCCTTGTTGCATGCAGGCCATACAGCATCAAATACATAACAATGTGTTTGGATGTATAGTGATATAATATTGAGATAATACTACACGAGGTAATGTAATTTCCACACTAATCTACCAGACCCCCTGTTCGCGTCCTGGTACACGGCCTATCCTGACTACTCTTCTAGCTTGTCAAAGTTAGTTTCTCGGTCCCCTGTACCCATCTGTTTGGTATGCTTCCATGCGGCTGATTTTGGGCGCGCTCCGCCTTCCATATCTTTCTTTTTCGGTTCACTGCTCGCCCTCAGGTCCGAAAACGAGCCATCATACAGCTGAATTTAGCTGCACCCCACCGTCCGGAATTCTCTTTCCCGGATTACTGCCTGCCCCTCCTGCATTTGGTTTTCAGTTTCCTTGTATTCTGCTCTTCGAATCTACCTACCAGGGCCTGTTTTGACGTGCGTTTTCTCTAGTGATTAAACTTCCCTGATGCTATAATAATATATAGATATATAAATATTCTATTGGAGATAAGCATGGATTGCTTTTCCAGCCTATATCCTGTTTTGGACATGGCTTCTACTGCCTGCTTCTCATTCCTGCAATTTGTGCATTATCACATTAAGAAAATAAACAAGGTCTATATTGCATCATATAGGTTCTATAGGTGTTAAACAAATAGTTAGATACACTATAGTTTCTTGTACTGAACCACTATATCAGTTCATGGTGTCAAAGTATTGCCCTGTGTCAAGGTATTGTCTTGATACTTGACTCTAACTCTAACCCTAATCGCAAGACACTCACTTGTTGCTTGGTAATTGATATAGCGGTGGCTGGTGAGGCTAGTTTGCTATAGGAGCTGGGTAGGCTCAGAGGAAGAGTAGAGGAAGTAGACAAGAATAGACGAGGGTGGATGAGTATATCCAGTCTGC